GTCCCTACATAATGTTGCTCCAACCTACCTATCCTCCCTAAAACACACGTATGTCCCATTGAGGCCCCTGCGCTCTGCTGAAGACCTACGCCTATCCTCTGTCCACATTCCCACATCTGATGCTCGCCTCCAAGACTTCTCCAGGGCTGCACCTGTTCTATGAAACTCTGTTCCCTTCTCCGTTAGACTTTCACTTAGTCTCCATTCCTTCAAAAAATCTTTGAAAACACACTTCTTCAAGAAACATATTATTTAAACTGTTAGCGGATTTTCATTTCCCCCCCACCCCCCATGACTCCTCTCCTTCAATTGTCAAAAACAACCTACTAAGTTCCCAGTGAATAGTTTTCCAGCAGCCTATTTCATTACCCCTACTCATAACCTTTGTGTCACTATACCCCACTCCCTCTAGCATGTAAGCTTATTGAGCAGGGCCTCAGCCCCTCTGTTCCTGTGCGTCCATTTGTCTGGTTACAATTAGGGATTATTCTAGTTTACAGTGAACAAATAATCTAAATTTTATTAAAGACAGGAGGCGAATATTTGCTTATCTTTCTTTACTGTAACTCCCAGCAGCAAAGAAACAGTTAACAATGTTGTAAGAAAAATTCAACCAATCATAACACATCACAGAAACAATATAGTGCCACCAGACTCCTCCCACTTCCTCTTTCTTGGTGATGCCGGTCAGTAGTAGAATCAACCCTGTAAACTGGAAACATTCCGAGGCTTTAACTCGAAGAGAAGTCAACCATGTAAACGTGTAGTCAAGTGAAGAAGAGAGACTTCGTGAAAGTATGGTCTCTTGGACAAGAGAAAAAACATAAGTACGCCTTCTATTTTTAAAGATAGCTCAGATTATCTGGTAGAGTTTAAAAAGGACATATCGGTACAATGTGATGTAGGGTTATATCTACTAGTCTAACAAATCGTATACCTGCAAATCAAAGTGCAAGAGAGTGTACAATACAAAAACAATGGACCAGGAGACTTACCTTGAGGGTGGGTTCCAGAGTGAACGAAGGGAGGGAAAATATTCGCCTCCTGTCTTTAATAAAAATTTAGATTATTCGTTCACTGTAAACTAGAATAATCCCTAATTTTATGGCAAGACAGGAGGCTTCATATTTGCTGTTTTAACGCTCTTGAATAAAGGAACAAGCCGCATGTGGTGTCGGTTTAAAATAAAAGGTGCGAAAGGTAGATTCCCTGGATAAAATATCCGCCAGTGAGCTGCCCGCGCGAAAGGCAGAGGATGTGGCCGCTCCTCTAACAGAGTGAGCTCCGAATGATCTATCAATTCCTGCTTGGGTAAGCAACCATCTTATCCAGTGTGCAATAGTGGGGGAGGAGACCGGTTTGTGAGGTCTAACGTAAGAGACAAATAGAGGTCCGGTAGGGGAACGTAGAGAGGCAGTGTTCTCAATGTAACAATGGGTACACAGGGCCACACAGAGAGACGGTCTGTCGGGAAAGTACGGATAAAAGACTCACAAGGAATTTGTCTTAGTGCGTCAAGTAATGGTAAATCTGACACTGTCTGGTGCGAAGGTGACAGCATGTGAGTCAAAGGCTTGAACGTCAGAAACTCTGCGGAAGGACACCAGACACAGTAGCAGGGCCAGTTTCGCAGAGTGTTGGTGTAGGGATAAGGCCTCGTTAGGTGGCCAGGACTCCAACAGTGCGAAAACCTGAGAAATATCCCTGAACTTAGAGTATTTGGCAGATGGTAGCCTCGTCAAACGAATGTCCCTTAAAAGTCTGCACACGGAAGGGTGTTTCCCAACCAAGGAATTGTCAATAGTGTCATGGGCTGCTGAAATGGCGGAGCGAAAAATATTAATCGATCGGTATGATTTACCCTGATCGAAAAGAGATGATAAAAAATTTAGAATGGATGAAAGAGATGCTGAAACGGGATAGAGATCCCTCTCCAGACACCAGCCGACCCAAATTTGCCATGCAGAGAGATAGGTTCGTCTGGTCCCTGGGGCCCACGAGACCCACAGGAGTGTTTGAGCAGTGCATGAAAGTCCTGTGACATGCCAAGCTCCCCTGAAACTGTCCAGGCTACCAGTTGAAGATGGCCTTGTAGGGAGAGCGGGTGGTAATCGCCCGTTGGGTTCCTGAGGACCCAAAAGGAGCGAGGTAGGAGGATGGGATAGTTTGTTGATAGTTCCAGGAGGGTGGGGAACCAGGTCTGGGCCCTCCATAGAGGAGTAATTATCACAATCTCGACCCTTTGTGCCTTGACCCGGTGGAGGGTCCGTTGAAACATCGAGAAAGGAGGGAAAGCATAGGCTCCACTCTGCGGCCAAGGTTGGAGAAAGGCGTCGACTGCCAGAGACAGAGGGTCTGGTAGCCATCTGAAGAAGTTGTCTGTCTGACGATTCAGCCGAGACGTGAAGAGGTCGAGCGTGAGGGGCCCCCGTAATAGATGAATGTGGTGCAATAGGAAAGGGTCTAATTGCCAATCGTTGGCATCTCTACAGTGGTGTGAAAACCAGTCCGCGACTAAGTTGTTGGGTCCTGGGAGATATTCTGCCCGAATGGACAGATTCCTGTCTAGGCAGAACTGGTACAGGTCCTTGGTGAGATCTGACAGAAGTTTGGATTTGGAACCTCCAAGTCGGTTTACATACCGTACCTCAGAGATGTTGTCCATCCGTAGTACCAGAGAACAGTTGGAGGCGTCCTTGGCAAAGCTGCAGATCGCAAAGGATCCAGCAATGAGCTCGAGACAATTTATGTGTAGCGCTTGTTCTGATGGGGACCAGAGACGCCCTGTGAATGTTTGGGCGCATGTAGCACCCCAACCCAAGAGGCTGGCATCGGATTCCAGAATAAAATCCGGTTGAGATCCGAAGATAGCTTTCCCATTCCAGGCTTCCATATTGCGAAGCCACCAGTGGAGTTCGATGAGAACTTCGTCCGTCAGGGAAATGAATTGATCGTAAGAGGTTGAGCGATGCAAGTAGGAAGTTTTCAACCGTTGCATTGCTCTGTAGTGTAAGGGCCCGGGAAAAATAGCTTGAATTGATGCGGATAGGAGACCCAGAATGTGTGCAAGGTCGCGGAGCCGAGGTCGTTATGAAGTGAGTAATTTTTGAATTTCTTTCTTTATGTTTTTGATTTTGGAATAGGGTAGTTGCAGGGTTGCCTGAACTGAATCTATTTGAAAACCCAGAAAATTGACTATCTGAGAGGGTTCCAGATCTGATTTCGGGAAATTTATAACAAAACCCAGGTTTTGAAGGAGGGCAGAGGTCATGAGCGTGTGTTTGCGAAGTAGTTGTTGGTCTTGGGCCATAATCAGGATATCGTCTAGATATATGATGGAACGTATTCCCTGAGAACGGAGTAGCGCCATGACCGGTTTCATTAACTTGGTGAAACACCAAGGGGCGGAGCAAAGTCTGAAAGGGAGGCAGGAGAACTGCCAAATTTCACCTTGCCACAGGAATTGGAGGAAGGCACGATGACTCGGTGCGATTGGGACCGTCCGGTAAGCATCCCTGAGGTCGAATCTGGAGAACCAGTCTCCCACGCAGAGCAGGTCCCTGAGAAGATGGATACCTTCCATCTTGAAATGACGGTATGTTATAAAATGGTTCAGTGCTTTGAGATTGATAATAGGACGGTGGTTTCCCGTCTTTTTCCGAACAAGAAATATGTTGCTGAGGAAGGTGTAAGGGAAAAGCGAAAGTTTGATCGCCCCTTTGTCTAATAGTTTGTGTAATTCTGAATTTAAGGTTAGGGTGTCTGCTTTTGATATCTCTAAATGTGTCGGAGGAGAGTGTTGCACGGGATGTGTGAAGAAATCTATTTTGAAACCTCTGACTGTATGAAGGATCCAGTGATCCTGAGAAAGTAGTTTCCACTGTTGGAAAAAGAATGTTAATCGACCTGCGATTGGTACATGTTTCAAATAAGCAAGGTCCATTACCTGAAGCAGTGCGTCCGCGCAGGGATGCAGAGCCATGTCCTCGGATAGAGCCTCTGGTGCTGAATAGTTGTCTGTGGTAGGGTCGTGTATATCCTGTGGACCAATAGTCTGTGGGTCGGGGCCTGTAGCCTGCAAAGGCTGCTCTACTGGTAGCTCGGCCCCTGGAGCGACCAGCTCTCCCAGAAAAACGTTGTGTTTGGGAGTGGAAAACCCTACGTAAAGAGGACTGGGCTTTATTGAGTGTGGTAAAGACCGAGACATGCTTGGAGAGGTATCGCATGAAACTGTCACCGAATAGTAGACCATTGGCTTCTGGGCCTAGTTCCTTAGAACTCAAGTCTACCAATTTGGCATCAATTTTATAAAGTGCCGCTTTGCGTCTCTCTATCGAAATAGCCACATTGGCGTTGCCCAATAAGCATAGAGCTCTCTGAGCCCATTCTCTGATAATGTGCGGGTCAAGTTCACCGCTAGTGAGTGCCTCATCTGCTAATATAAATACCTGATTTATAGGACCTGAAATGTCCAAAAGTTTGTCTTGGGCCGCTTTCAACCCCTGTTCAATACCCTTGCGAGGGTCTTTGCCAGATTTCGTTAAGTAGGTGACAAGCATGGGGACGAACTCAGGGGTAGAGGCAACTTTGCCCGGAATAGTAGGTCTCGGGCATTCAGCCCTTAGTTTATTTCTTTTTCGAGAGGCTTGCGAAGCCACATTTTGCAGAAATTGGCAATATGGTCTGGGGGGGCCCATTCTGCAGAGTGCGGGTGACGAATCACCTTTGGGTCAAAAAAGGGGAGGCCCGAGGCATCCAGGAGGGTGTCTGAGTCAGGCACTTTAGATGGAAGGGTACCCTTGGAATCCTGACCCAGGAAGGTTTCCTTTACGAACTCTGACGTTGAGGAATCCTGGGGCGCATTCACCATGGGATCCTCATAAGAGTAGTTGGGATCATAATCACTTAAAATATGGCCAGCCAAACGAGAAGTAGAGGGTCTGTTGGATCCTGCATAATGTATGGTTGGGAGTGTTTATAAATCTTTGCAGGAGCTTTGCCTTTGCCCGCAGTAGCGCTATTCCCTTTCCAGGGTCTTTTGCGCGGGGCGCTGTCTTGGTCAGAGAGGTGAGAGTCCTCAGAATCAGAGGTTTGGTGTGTAGAGGGATGAACCTCTGCAGTAGTTTGTTCATGATAGGCTGCCAAAGCCTTAGGAATGGACTCCGCGATAGTGGAGAAAAGCCATTCCTTAAGTTCAGCAGAAATTGCAGAGTCTTGGCGGTCCGACATAATGTCTTTCTCAATATATATACAAATTATATATACAAATTATGAGTGAGGGCTGTCAATTAAAGATGAGACAACTCAATTAGAATATCAGAGAAGTGGAGGTCACCCACACGAGACGTCAAAACCGTGGGGGTCACCCACAACTGCCTGGCACAATAAATTGTAAAGGGCAATTAATGGAGGGTCATCCAATAATTACAGGTGGTGGTCAACCACTGAGTAGTTCAGAATAAACAATATATAGATATACTATAGTCAATGAAGGTGGGGGTCACCCACTGGAGAGTAAAAGAAGGGGTGAAAAGATCACCAGTATAATACATATAATATGTACAGTGAGAAGATGGGGGTCACCCACAAAATAAAACCAGGTGGTGTCAGCCACACAAATATTGTACTTAGTAGTGTTTTCAGTATGTAAGTGGGGGTCACCCACAACAGAGAATAATGTCAGCCACACAAAGTTAATGAATGGCAATGTATGTTAAGCACTCAATTTAGGGAGAGGGGTTCACCCAGGTTGCAGCAGGTTGGTCCTGTGTGGGGCAAAGCCTGCAAAAAACAGATAAGATATAGATCAGTATACTGATCGTTTTAATGAGATGCGCATATGAAATGAGGTTGAAGCAGTAATAGCAAAACCTACCATCCACAACATAGGCAACAGGTGTTCCCACAGAAGTTGAAGAATATCAGCGCGCAGATGCTCGCAGAGGAGACAGGAGCCGCGGGGAGGTGCACCGCTGTTGAAAGATGGCCGCTGCGAATGAAGCCGTCGCAAGATTGCCGCTGTTGAAAGGGCGGGAAAAACCGCGTCACAGAAGGAGACGCGAGTAGGCGGGAGGAGGGTAGAGGTGGAAAAAGGCAGCCGCGGGCTCATGGTAAATAGAGTCCGCGGCTGATGATAGTTCGTGCATGGGCCGCGTCTCTTCCTCTGAGGAGAGAGCCGCGGCCAGCTGATTGACGAGACAGGCGAAACCGCCGTATGAAAAAATGGAGGGCGCCAACTATTTAAAGGGGAATCAATCAATTGTAAAAAAAGTATGAGTGGTATGTGAATAATGAATATATATGTGAGAAAAGATGTGTCTCAATTAAAATAAAGTTTGCTGAGGAAGAAATAGATGTGCAAGTAACCAAATATAAATAAAATATATAATTAACTAAAACCATTAAGGTAATGTAATTGGAGTAGACTCACCTGGGAGGCAAGCAGCAAAGAAAGAGGAAGTGGGAGGAGTCTGGTGGCACTATATTGTTTCTGTGATGTGTTATGATTGGTTGAATTTTTCTTACAACATTGTTAACTGTTTCTTTGCTGCTGGGAGTTACAGTAAAGAAAGATAAGCAAATATGAAGCCTCCTGTCTTGCCATAAAATTACATGTCTGTAAGTCCACCCATTGTACAGCGCTACGGAAGTTTGCTGGCACTAAATAAATAATAATAATTGCCATTGGTCCACCCAAAGAATAAGCCATTCAGCTTATTATGGCTTTCCATGCATACAGCGCTCTTTATATGTGACAGTGATCTAGTGCTCTAAGTGTAGCGTGAGCACGTCTAATGATGAGCTTGTACTATGCATTCTGTGTACAGCTTTACCAAAAGCGGGACACTTAGAGATATATTGGGGACGGCAAGACAGGACTTTGAAAAAGTGTCTGTTCTGTCAAAATCCCAACTAGTAGGGACTAGTGGAGGGGAGGGGGTGATAAATAGTAATATTAAGAATTTGAAGGACTTTGGATTATGAATAAAGGAGTGCTCATAACAGCATAACAATCATAACCATATGTGTTGTAAGGCTGACAGCTGCAATACTCCACCAAACAGAGGGAATGTTGATGAGGCAGTAATCTGCTGGCTTTGCAACTGAGGCACGTATAAATTAGGTTGGTGCCTGTAGTTTAGCACTTTCTTTCACATAGACCAACAAGTTAACTCAGGTCCCAGGCAACTCAGGCCACTTACACACATATTAGTTGCACCCTCCTGATGGCCCTGCACATACACAACACGTACAAAGCAGAAGTCATGACTTCAATCTGGCATCATGTCTAGGGCACTGGGCAGGCATAATCGGCTCTCATTGCTGAAGTACATTTCACAAAGCCTTACTTTATCATAATATAGTTAACGTTTTAAGCTCTTATATTTATAAGACTTCATTGATTTTTTTTATCGCAGTAACACTTTTTCACTATATATTACATCTAAACTAATGCTTTTTTTAAGATGAAATGGTTAGTTACTACAGTGGTTCCCATCCTTGTTTGGTTTAAGGTCTTCTTCACTGAATCTTCATATATCCTCCAGAACAGTACCTGTTTTTTGCTTTGATTCATCTTCCCAGTAGTAAGCTAAGAAACTAACACCCTAGGTTTTAGGGTAACAAAGTTTTACGTTCCATAGAATACCCCAGTATACACGTATATGGTTTATATATATATATATATATATATATATATAGATATGTATATATATATATATATATATATATATATATATATAGATATGTATTCAGACTTAATTACTGTATATATATATATATATATATATATATATATATATATATATGTGTGTGTGTGTGTGTGTGTGTGCGTGTATTTTCTTTTTTATAAAAAAAAAGAACAGACCACAAGAATATAATTCTAAAACAACATAACAATCAAACAATATTAAAACGGGGAAAGGTGATCCATCCAACCATTTCCTTTTTGGGAGATCGCAGGGTGTATGGAAGCATTTATATGCACTATATTTTATTTATCCCATTTTCCCAGTTGTCCCAGTGAAATCCCAATAAACACAGTTTTATGAGGGTTGGCACAATGCTTTAGAGGTTTTCTTAGTTTGTTCTAAAAGGAAATCATCTAAAAACTCATATTTAAACAAGGTACCTAAGATGTTTTTGAACCACGATTCCCAAATATCTGAGAGCCAAGGTAAGCTATTCCTGCACCAGAATGGTATTAGTTGTGTTGAAACTTTCTAAGAATTACTAGATCTATGGAATTTAAATTGTTTCTTAGTTATATCAGCCCTAGACTGGTCTGAGAGTCTCTTATGCTATCAGTGCAGGAAAAAAAGCACATTTGACAAGGCTGGTTAGTTTGATATAATGAAAATGCCTGAGAGATTTGGTGCAGGAAGATGCTTATTTGATTCAGCCCCAATCTATACCAATCTAATACGTTGAACAGCTATGAGACAAGAATCATTTTTCAATATATGAAGCAACTTGCCAAGCCTGCCTACTTCATTCTCCTGAGTGCTTTATTTTAGGGTTTGAAACTTCTAGCAAACACTAAGAGATGTGACAGCCTGATTGTGGCAGATGTGCCAGGTCTCACCTGAACAAAACCTTTGTTATTATACATCATTGTATTACTGAACCAATTTATGTTACTTGTCTCTGGGGTGACCTTACAGATTTCCTATCAGAAGTTGTCATAAGGTTAATACACAAAAAAATGACCTCTTTTGTCTGTAATAGGAATTAGCTGCAGCATACTCTGTTTTTCTTTTGTTTGAAATTTCCCCTAAAGACCATAAATGCTCTACATACAGAAAAAAAACCTTTTCAGAGAAATCAATTTTTTTTTAAATGATACATTGTCATGCAATTTTAAACATAAAATATATTAATTTTTTTAAACAGTAAGTAAAAGCACAGGAAAAAAAAAAGTATGTATTTTAAATAGTTAAAATAAATAAATAAATAAATAAATAAAATGTAATAGTAAATTGTCTAAGGAAAAACCATTACTCAAAGAATAACAAAATAGTTTTTGGCTCCCAAAAGCATACAAAATAAATGAAACATTATTTGCTGCCTGATGGGTTTTAAGGATAATGGTGTTTTAGAGAATGCACTCGGGAACAATAAATCCTCATTCTTAATATTCTCAGCTTTAAACATGAAACAATGCAGCATGTCATGCTATGACATGCTTGAATTATTTTACTTGCATAGATTAGACAGTGCAATTACAGATTATTTTTAATGTAGACCTTATATATGCTCATTTTTTAAATATATTTGTTTTCTAGGTTCTCTGTACATGTCTTGGGTTCACTTGGCTATTTGGAGGAGCCATTTCCTGTGTTCACGTTTACAGTTCAAGATATTTTTTTACATGAGACAAATATTCTTAATGCAATGCAGAGGATTGGGAATGCAGAGGATTTGGATCTAAAAAAGAGGTGACTGTAATTGAAAAGGTTTTTTTTTATTTTATTCTATAAAAGGCAATTAATGGACTTCGGTGACATTTACACCAGGAATGCATAGATATTCTGTTCTCGCAAAGGGAAATGACAGTATGCCTTGTTAAATATAGGAATGGCTTGTGTTCAACAATTATGTTTTAGAAAAGGCTATCTACCAGCTGGTCAATGTCATTACACTCCGACAAAAACTAAATTAATTTCTCATTTTGAATTCTTAATTCATGTTACAGCTTATTCTTTGGTCATTTAGCGTACTGATCCAAGGTAATGGTGAAAATAATATACCAAATTGCTTACTTTATTAGTCCATGATTTGCTTGTTTCTTTAACCTCTCATATTCTGATCATGGCATTACATTTACAGTCTATATGATAATATCAGAAATAACTAGTTATCAAAATAAGTCACTGGCAGGGGGCCTCCCTTGGTCAAACCCCACAGAGCAGCTGTCACTTTTCGTCCTAAATGCCTTCCTGGGCCAAAGGCCATATGGAGAAAGTCTCCACGGCATTACCACATCGCCGGAAGCCCGACCGCTGAAAAACCCGGACTTTCCATGGCGCTCAACAGAGGGGAGACCTTGCCTCAACTCAAAAAGTCTGTGGACAGCAGGTGCTGTTCTTCATACCGGCCTGGGGCTGGAGGGTGGCCTCCTCACACCTGCAACTCCAGGTCCTCCTGTGGAAACTCCTGGCACAAGGTGTCTTCATACCCAGCATGGGTATCGGCTGACTATTGATTCTCTGGTATGCAGTACCTACCAG